AATTTATACAAAAAAATTTTTTTACCGTTATTACAAGAAAAAATAAAATAAAATAAAAAATCAGAACGGTCAAATGACCGTTCTGATAGCAGGCGCACGAAACGTTTTAAATTTTTGTTTATTTATTTTTAACGGGCCAACGGTCTCATATTGAACCATCTCTTAAAAGATAACGATTTTCGTGCCTTGAAGTTAATTAGTTTTTTCAGATTTTCTTACATATTTCCCAACAAATGAAGGTATAGCAGTTGGAATTGCTGACTTGAAGGGTCTTGTGTTCATTCGATTAGTAAATAACTCTATAGATGGGACAATTCCTTCGGAGTTTGGGAACAACTGCCTATTGTCATAAATCCGGCCTTCTTTAAAAGAAAATGTCCGGCCAAGCAATATCCAGTTAGAGGAACAAGGTTAAGATGTTTTATTCGACCAAAATACTCAAGCTCTCTAGCAGCTTCATGATTAGTCATAATCGAACCATGGACTACAACTTTAACATAACAGTTATTATTGAAAAACTAACCGTTATTATTGACTTTTATTAGACGAGTGAGACCTAATAACGACTATTTTTTCAATTTTAATTGAATTTTAATCCTAACCAAACATGCTCTAAGTCTCATGAAATTGGGTTGAGTTGTCAAGATTTAGCATAATATAATTGTCATGTGTGAATTATTGTTTTCCACGTCAATTTTCCGTCCATTTGGAGGCATGGGAGTTAAATGGGTGATGGATGGATAATTATACGAAAATATGAGTGAATATTTGATAATTATTAAAGATGAATGAGTAACTAACAATAACTTCTAAAGTTCAATTTACTCCTTTTGCGTAGAAGAAGAGATTGGAGCAGAGCCATGGCACCTAAAATCCCTGCTATGAGCATCCACCTCTCCAATAATTTCTCTTAAACCCCAGGCCTTTTTCATCAAATCCGACTATGTCCCTCTCATCTCCACCTACGCGCCTCAAGCTCCTCACCTTCCTCTCCGCCACCGCCACTCTCTACTTCCTCTACAAATCTCGCCACCGCTACAGCCTCCTCCTCAAGCGCCTCCGCCAAACCTTCGCTAAACCCTCCGGCCAAAACCCTAATTCTAGTTTTAAAAAAGGCAAACTTTTCTTCATTTCTCAAACCAACACTTCTAAAACCCTAGCCCAACGCCTACACGCGAATTTATTGCTTAATGACCTCGACTTTGATCTTGTTGATCCCCAGGATTATGAGCCTGAAGATATATGTAAAGAAACATTGGTCTTGATTGTTGCTTCTACTTGGGAAAATGGTGGATCACCTCAAAATGGAAACTTTTTGGTAAATTGGCTAGCTGAGAGTGCTGATGATTTCAGAGTCGGGGCGCTTCTGCTTA